GGGGGGGGGAAGGGTTACTCTTGTCTGTTCTCTCTTAAACTCTGCGAATCCCAGTTTTCTTTTTATTGGGCTGAAACTCATTTGTTAAGGCACATTGGTGTCTTGATTTATATATTCCAAATCCTAGGTTTCTGACTTTGTTTTTCATAAAGCTGGCTTTGTAGAGGGCCTATATGAAGAATGCAGGGTGAATTGTTTACATGTACTTTAGTCTTAGCTCACCTTCCTGTTTCTTTTTTTCCTTTCTCTTTTTCTCTTCCTTTTTCTTTCACAAAACTTCACAGTGGTTCTCAGTTTTTAAGATCAATTCTGTGTGTAGACCACACCTCTCTTAATATGTTGCCTCTTTTGGTACACCTGTTGAGGACATGTTTGTTTGTTGGTTTGCTTTTTAAAATGAAATGTTTCTTTTCCTGCTTTATAGAAAAATAACTTCGTTTTACTTGTGTTTCCTTCTTAAATACAATTTTAGAGCAGACTTCTAGTCTCAGATATGAAAGCAAATAATGAGAGACTGTGTCAAATGGTATTTCCTGTCAGAAAAGACGTAGGTATATCTTAACCTCATTACTAATGTATTTAAATATAAAAAGCCAAGACTACCTCGTAATCATTATAGACTGAAGGAGCAAAGAGATTGAAAAGCTCAGGCTAAAGTAAAGAGAATACCTGAGGGGCATGCAGACTTCCAACTGGTAATGTTTAACATAAGCAATTTTTATATTCCTTTATAAAGCTTCTGGGTTGGTTTGTTTCTTTGTGGATCTTTCAAAGAATTTACTGTTTCTTTAACTTCTTAAGAAAGATGTTGATCTTTGTCAAGGACAGAAATCATGTGAAAGACTTGTTTGAAATATGAACAAGAAAGCTCTAGCAAAGACGGGGTAAAACCAGAAGTTTATCTCAAAGTGTTAGGGTTCTGCAAAGCCATCTACAGTGTTGACTTCTTGTTCAGGAATTACTGCTTTTCTTTTGTTTTCCTGAGTAACTGCAGGTGTCTAATGCTTTTGTATTGGTCAAAGAGATAAAACTCTCTGCTTCCCCTCCCTCCTGTTTGTTTAGTGGTTTGTTTGGTTTGGGTTTTTTTTGTTGTTATTGTTGTTTGTTGTGCTTTTTCAAGTTGAAGTTAGCTGTACACAAGTGAAAATTCATATTTTTTTTAGCTTACTATGCTGCCTTGTAACTGCCAATTAATGTTCCTTGAGTAACAGCAATTTTCTCATTTGAAACCAAAGAAAAGGAGGTAATATTCGGTAAGTTTAGAGCTCTGCTTTTCTTCACTGGAGAGAAGAATATCATGTAACAGTTGATTTTTATCTGATATTACATTAGGCCCATGTGACATATACAGTTCCCCTGTAGTACCAAGTAGGAAGGCTTTTTAGACATCAGGAAAACCCAACCCTTAGTCAAGAACATTATCCAGGTAAAAGGTGTTTAAATATATATTCCGTAGAACACAAAACATTCTTCAGTGTTTCTGTTGGCCTTTAAAATACACAGATAGACTGCAAGTAGTTGACACTATACATAGTCTACAGTTTAATTCATGTCACATAAAACCACAAAGCCTGGTGCTACTGTCAATTGCCTTCAGTTCCTTCGAGTCAAGGGTCTTGCAGGATCAGGCCTAGTAACTTTTCAGGTATTGTCTCACTCTATGCTGAATATGGGGGAGAAAGTAGTAGCCAAGGTAGGATGATGTGTTCTAGTGTTCAGAGTAGCTAGAATCAGTAATTTGAATTTTGCTTATCACAGTGTCCTTACTATAAAGTTATCCTCACTTGCATGCCTGTGACTCGAGTTAAGAAGTGGCACATCTTTAAGAAAAGAGCAGATCCCTGGACATTTACAGTCTGCACCCTTGATATTACTGAAGTCTTTGAAGCAAGCACAACTTAAACACTCAATGGAATTTTAGGTTTGTTAGTTCCCAGATGCAATGGGAGTGTATTATGCAAATCTCATTTTAAACTGGGTTGGAGCCATCCCCAGAAAGGACAGATTCAGTGGCAAAGCAAGCTGTCTGAGAAATTTCTGACAATAGCAGTCATAGGAAATACTTCAGTCATGTGAAGCAGTTCTTCTGGTATTCCCTCAATTACTGCTTTGCCTGTCAGTCCCCGTCCCTGCTTGTAAGTCATACTATGAATGAGATGATCTGGATAGGTACCAATCAAAAGTCTAATTATGAATGGAGCAATCCAGATCGGCACTGACTCAATAAGCTGTGTAATTTGCAGACACCTACACCTTACTGCAGAGAGCAGTTTCAGCTATCTTGAGAAGACTGAACTAGATTCTTCCATATGGTACTGTTGCTCTAAAATGTAGCAGTAAGTGCTGTGCAACTTTATTTAAGAAAATGATGCTGATGTATTCTTATTTGATACCATAATTGTTTTAGTTTCATGATTTACAAAATAGTCCTGGAGTCTAGACCTCTTGTTTAGCTGGAAGGGCTATTTAACTATGCTGTTGGTTTTATTTTTCCCCAAAATTTTCACCTTCTGTGTGTGCAATGCCACAGTGAACCCTAGCATTCACCTGGCCTCTTACCTTTCCAGAATATGAGTAATAAATTGTAAGTCCTTGAAGAAAAGCATTTGATGCATCACCGTCCATGGCAAGAACGCTCATTAAAATGTAGTTGATAAATAACTAATGCAGGGCTGCATTACTCAAATAGATGTTAGTTGTGTGAAGGAGAAGAAAGAACCTACCTATCTGTATATGTGGGACTTTAAGAAGTAATGCCAAGTTTGGTGTCTTCTGGTGATTTAATACACTATGCTGTTTTTCCACAGAGTAAGGTTACTAACATTTGCTTCATTGGCCATATTTTGTCATACACCCTTGCACTGGTCTGCCTAAATTACACCTTGGCTTTTGTTGGGTAAGGCATCATCTGCTTCCTGCCCAAAGCTGTTGTATTGAAAAATCAAGACTTCAAGGAGCATAAAGCCTTGGCTCGTCACGGAGTTGACAAGTGATCCAAGCAAGTTACACAATCCTGCTCAGATCAGCTAACCCTTTCGTGAAATACAGAAAATTACATCTGTCAGACTCAGGAGTCTAAAGGGCAAAATTATTTTAAAAGGAGTATGAAGATTCAGCATGATTCATTTGATTGACTTAATCTACATACAGGCTTTCAAAACACCTGCAATTTCACAAATGTAGTTAGTGATTGTAGTCACAGTATTTTATTCCCTGCACCAGTCAGGAAATTCAAACTATGTCACTTGTATTTAAATGACAGAATCGATGCTACACATATCGTGTTGTATGTGGGTTGACAGGTCCTGATGAACAATTTTCCCTCAGTAAACCCTGATGCACAAAATTTATCTCATATTTTGTATCTTACCATGTGGCCATATGACCACGCATACACATTTGTACACGTGCATTTATATTGCCTTCAGGGAAAATTCTTTGGTTATTGCTTTCCCATTTATTTTCTGGCCAAACAAAACTTTCACTTGCTCAACTGTTGCTGTGAAAATTGCAGAAAGGAAATTATTGTAAAGGTTTGCTCTGATATGAATAAAAAACTTGACATGTTTGCATATCTGAATCAGGTAACATAAACTTCTTACAAAGTGTTGCATTTGTTGTATCTTGGGCAATAACTCTTAAAAGAGAGTAAGCATGCTGAGCTTTTACTTTGTCATTCTTTTCAGAGTAAAAACTGAGTGTGAAAATTCCGTTCAGGAAAGTTCTAGATAACAGCCAGAGAGGAGTTTTCAATGCCTGCTGTATATGCTAGGTAGAAAAAAATCTATACCTTCATAGCAGTATTTGAAATAATTGTTACAGAAGAGTAAGACTTTAACAATTAATACAATGAGAGGAGACGAGGAACACAGACCTGCAGGTCTTACATAGCTAAAATCTCACTTCTAGTAGAGGCTCTGCCCAGTAATGTATGCTGGACAAAACATTGGTTATGAATTTAGTTGAACAAAAACATTATAGAGAAGAATGAAGCTGCTTTTTCTGCTTCACGTTATTGCCAATACATGGAATACAGACCAGT